CCCCCCGCTCGTGAACACTGCACCGATTTCTCATTACCCTTCCCTTCTAGCTACTGGGCTGTTAGCTTCTTGAGGCCAGGGATCTGACCTCCTGTTTTCTTTACTTTAGTGAGGAGAACTGTTGTTTATCCCATTAAAACAGAAAAAAACAAAAACCTAATCCTGCTCTAGAATCCCCTGACTACTGTACTTGCTGGATTTTGTTTGGGTCAGCCGACTGAGTATTTTAGTGAGGAGAGTAAACTTGGCTTTCATCAGACTCCCAAAGACGCCTGTGACTTGAGGCCTACCATGAATACCAACTCTGATGATGCCCCTGTTCCCTGTCCCCATGCCACTACTTTAATTAGATATTTTTGCCATTGCTAAAGGAGCCTTCTAGCTGGACCTCCTTTCAATTCTGAATTAGTGGTCGGTCCCTTCCAACTGTCTGCTCTTCAGAATCAGCAATGGGGGCTTAAATACAAATGCCTAGGTTCCCTTCAGGGCTCCCATGTCAGAGCCTGAGTGGGGTGGGGTGGACCAGGACATGAGTATTTTCATGAAGAACCATACATGTCTCACAGGCCCATGACAGCCACTGTCTTTCTTGGAAATAGAGTCCCAATTTGTAAAATCCTCTTCCTTTTTCTTTTTTCGGTGAAAGGACTGAGAAACCTTGCACCATGTTTCATTTACGTGAATTTTTTCATTTTCCCTTCCAGCCACTGTTGCTTAAGAAACCAACTTGAGTTTATGAGGCCAGCAGGCTCAGTGCCACTTGTCAGCAGCACTAAATCACAGCTACTTTCACCTCCAAAATGTCTGTCCAAATCAACTAGAAGAGTGACATGAATTACATTCCTGACAGCAATATCCTCAGCTAGGAACAGTATGTTAAAATGCTACCCATGAAGAATACTTGGTTGTTGCCATATGCAGTGTCTGTTATGAGATACATTGAATATATCCTGCTACATTATCTAGAGTTCAAGAGAACTGAAGACAAAATATAAGCTTATCTGTGCTTGTCTTTATTTTATCGATCTTGGTATTACATTCATTAAAACCTGTTGTCCACTATGTACTCAAAAGTACGTTGGATATTTTGAATCATATGGGCTGTAAGTAAGATCAAAATACTATTCCAGAACTGGTTTCCTTCTTTTTTTTAAATGCATATAAAGATTCACCTTGTACTATTTTTAAATTTATTTTTAGTTTTTACTTTTTTTTTTGAGACAGGGTCTCACTATGTAGTCCAGGCTGGCCTTGAACTTGCAGTGATCCTCCTGCCTCAGCCTCCTGAGTGCTGGGATTACAGGCATGTGCCACCACACTCAGCTTACCTTGAACTTTTAAATGATGTATTGCGTGTTGACAGTGTCCCAGAATGCTTCAGGATGCCATGGAAGGGCCAAGCACAGGGTTAGAAACAGCAAGGAAGAAATAAGCCTTCAGGCCTGGAGACCCATGCCAGCTATGGCTCTGTGAAGTAGGACAGACATCAGTGTTCAGGGACGCCTTCCCCCATCAGACCACAACAAGCCATTGAGATTTCCACACCACATTGCTGGACGTGTCAATCAGCACAAGAGTTCATCCATCTGAGTAGAGGTGGTGGTTTTTCTAAGTGAATCTGTTATCTAACTAAAATCACCTCAGAACATTTAGAATTACAAAGAGATTTTAGAATCTTGCTCATTTTCTCTCGGGCAGACAATTTTTCGCTGTTTATGAGTCAAATCAATTCCCTTATTCATTTGAAGAAAAAAAAAAACAGAGTTGAGAAGATAATCCTCCCCTGGACTCTGGAAATCCCTGCTGCAGTTCAGGCTCCAATGAGTCCCATTAAAAATCCCTTTATAGCCAAGTTGTTGCCAACCTTATCCAACAGGAAGTAATTTGGGTAGCCTCTGAGAAACAACAAAACCATACAGTTTATTGAAATGGCTGATCTTTATCAAAATCTACCTGTTAAAGAAAACTTTGCGGGGGCAATTGAGAAGAGACCAGGAGTACCTGTGGAACAGGAAGTCAAATGGGAGCTATTACATTACTCCCACTTTGACAGAGCTCCAGGTAATAGCGTCAGTCCCTCTCACATTCCAGAAATGGAGCTGGATCACCACATGGGACATGGGAAGCAGTGTTCCTTCAACCTGTCACTCACTCTGTGGTGTAAAGCGGGGCCGACCAGGTTGGTGTGTTTAGAGAGGGTCATGCCCAGCTCTGTACCCACAGCAGGGGACACAGGGCCGTCTCCTCTCCCCTCACATCCAGTGAGAGGAACTTCAGAGAGCCCCATGTCCCCGAAGTTTAGGAACACCATGGATTGGTGTGGGCTTGTGCCTGAGGAATCAACATTGGCAAAAGTGGCCTTAACATCCAGTCAAAACTGTGGTGAGGGAAATGCTTTACACCCAGAGAAGACAAATCTAAAAGAGAGGCTTCACTGGGGAGGACCACTCTGAAAGGCAGACACCTCAGCAGGAAGAAACCAGAAGTTTGCCTCCGATACCCGCAGTTCCAGAGAAGAATCTGAAGCAACCAGTCAGAGGCCAAATGAACTTGCCCATGCTAAGGGAACAAATGGATGCCGAGAGATTACCCAGCAGGGTGGGGCGGTGAGCTCTGTTCTAACAAACCCACAAAAGCACCTGTGAGAGATGGAAATACTGGCCGCTGGCAGAGGTAACCATGGTACCTAGAGCCACGCAAAACCTTTCCACCTCCTCTGCATTTGAGATGTGCCAGGCTGGGAGAAATACACATGATGCCTACCACGACCTGCCCTCCCACCCAACTGTAGAGGGTTTTGTTATTACACTATACCAGACAAATTAATTACTGAAATAAGACTGTGGTTTTGGCTAAAAGTAACCAGGAGCCTTTTGGTTCCTTGAGAGTGACCCCCAAAAGTCATTCATTCATGCAAGGCACAAGAAAACAGCTACCCACAAGACAAAGGGAGAAAATTACACTGCTTTGGGATTATGCCTTCCAGTCCCACTGGGCCAGGGAATCACCACATGGTCTTCCACATCAGACCTTAGCCCTTGGAGGACGTCTCCTCTGGCAGTCTACTTAGTCACAATCGAGTGCTGCATGTCAAGAAAAGCACTTTGTGTGCACTGTATATGAATCAGAATCCAAGCTTTCCAACAACAAAGTTAGGAGTAAGGATACGGGATTAAAAGCACTGGGGTTCTAAATGTTGGTTTAACCTTCTGTGAAATAGCTGCCTGCCAAGGTTTTTCCTAAAGGACTCGGTTTAAATGATTGTCAGGGTCTCCTTGAGGCCTATTTCAAAAAGGCTACAGCACACCATAGATCAAGGATTCATTTTGCAGGCTGTGTGAATGTGGCACAGGCAGGAGGGCTTTGGGGGCCAGGGGTGACAAGGACAAAGCATCTCTAAACTGAAGTCCTCACAAGTGTGGCAGTACTGGCCTTTGGAGGCCAGTGTGTGGCTGAGGTTGATAGGATCGCCTTGGTGACTGTTTCCACAGGGTGTTTTTGGTCACGTGACCTGGGAATCCCCAGCACTTCCCTGTATTCTCTGGAGTGCTGGGTAAGATCACTCTGGTTCTCCTGCTGCATCTGCAACTGGTGTGCAGGGGACAGGAACTCAGATCCAGCCCAGATTCTGTGCCCCAAACTCACTGTGACTCCATTTCCCCTGTCACATAAGGGACTGCCATTTGCTGCCCAAGCCCAGGCCAAAAGAGTAAGTGCTATTTTCATCTCGGGCTTCTCAGTGGACTTTTCCTACATGTGTGAAGTTTATGAGAGGCATCCATTATTTATTTGATTTGAAAGCAACTTCTAATCAGAGAGCTCAGGATTAACCATTTTATGGTATGATATTCTTCTATTCATTATGCATGGCTGCTTTTCAGGAATTTAGGCGATCCTTACTCAGCCTTTCAGATTTCTAACCACAGATGCTGCTTAGCCCCGTGGTAGTAATGTCCTCCGTCCACTGCCTGTCACCTACTACCCTGTCTCTACCCTGAAACCTCCCCATGATCCAGGGATAGAGTGTCAACAGGGACAGAGAAAAAGGCCACCTGCACGGCCAGTGTCTGATATGCTGGTGACCTTCTTGGGTTGGTTCCTAATATTTTAAATACCACTTTTTGTTTGTTTTTTGGGAAAGGATCTCACCACATAGTTCAGGCTGGACTTAGAACTCATTGTGTAGCCCAATCTGAGCTCAAACTCATGGCGACCCTCTTGCCTCAGCCTCCCAAGTGCTAGGATTACAGGTACCATTCCTGGCTCTCCCAATATCTCTTTTATGGGCGTCCAATCCCTCCTTGTGAAGTGGTCGTGCCCCTTAGCCTACAAGGGCATACACATTTCCCCCACCCAAAAAAGCACCTCCCAGAGCTCCTGCTTTCTCAGCCAAGCTCCTGTTTCCCACCTCCCTTCCCTTGGGTGAGAAATCTCCCATAAATCCAGGTTTTCCTTGCTGTTCACCTTTATCTTCATCTCTTTTGGTGCCCGGCAGCCTGGGTTCCAGCTACTCTGCTGAGAGGGCCCTTGGAGCTCACAGTGGAAGACCTCCAGGTACCCAGCTGCTCGCTGCTCAGGACTCCTCTTCTTCCAGATGTCCTTGTAATTGCCTGGACCTTGCCCTGGCTGCCTCCGTGCACACTGCACAGGAAGCCGCCCTAAGTGGATGGGATTCTCCTCCCCTTCACCAGGCTTTCTCTCTGACACTGTGCCCCCTCACCGTGGACGTCCCAAACCTCTCCTCCGTCTGGGCCTTTATCCAGGAGATAGGTGGTGCCTTTTCTCTTACAGTGACCTCATCTTCATTCAGTAATGAAGTCCTATTTCTTAATTCTCCTTGGACAATGTCTTGGGAATCTGTCCTAACCTTAGCCTGACTGTCT